TGGGCAATTCAGCATAGCCAATCTACCTAAGATGCACATCTTTAGATTTGTATTTCCAGCATTTGTTATTTTGTTTCTCTTTCTGCCCTCTGTCCTCCAAGTTTTGCTCAATACTTGTGGTCCAAGTTGTCCTGCGTGATTTGTTGCCTGAAGGTTTTTGGCGAACCTATACTAGGATTCTCAGCCCAGAGTCTGCTCATTGCTTTTGTTACTACCTCTACCATGTCCATATGCAGTTGCTGGTTGGGGGAGAAAGTTACCATCCTGACCGTTGCATGACACACTGGGGCTTTGGAATCCAGTGGGTCCAAAGTCATAATTTTCCTCCCAAGCCATGTTATGCTTGCCTTCTAGTCTCAAAACTAGCCTAGCCAAAAATGTACTTTATGGAATAAAACTGTCTGATTCAATCTTAGCTGCTTCTTGCTTCTGCACTCTAGTGTTGGGTTCTTAGCTAGACCATATGCACTACCATATCACTTCCAATCTGCCTTAATTGACAATCCCTAAGCAACCATAGTTCCATACTAGTAGTCCCGCTTCTTCCAACCTCCCTTAATACACATTGTGCTGCAGATGTTCAGCTATTAATAACACACCAAGATCCTCATTTATATCTTCCCTCCTCACTCCTTTTTCTCATTATCTAATTTCATCCCTTGCCATGTTGCCCTGCCTCACATTCAGTTGGAGCTGTACCTTCACTTTATAGACTTGGCTGTGTCCTTTGGTCCTGGTCTTCTCTCTCATTGCTGTTCTCATGTTTAATCTGTAGCTGTTGCCTCTCTAATATCATCATATGGTTATAAACTTTATTGTTGTGGCCGACATGTGTTGCTCCAAATGTACCCTTGTTTGTGGAATGGGGGTTTTGCTGTCTGGCCAGTGTTTGCCTATCTCCACTTGTCCTTAAGATGGTGGTGAGCTGTTGTCTTGAGTAGGCAATGTGTTTCAGGTGGACCCACAATGACCATGAGGGAATTCCAAGATCCCAATCTGGTGACACTCTTCCAAGTCAGGATAGTGAGTGGCCTGGAGGGGAACCTGCTTACATGTGTATGCTGCCCCGTCTTTCCAAATGGAGGCAGCCGTGGGATTGGAACTGCTGTCTAAGAATTTTTTGGTGAATTTCTGTAGTTAATTGTGTTGATTGTACATATCACTGCCACTGAGTATTGATGGTGGAGGGAGTGGACATTTTTTGATGTACCAATCAAGCAGGTCACCATATTACCAGACATGTCAAGCTCAAGTCTGATTGATTGCATCTCTGGTCAATAATAACCCTTAGGATGTTAATAGTTGTGGACTCTGATGGTGACATTAAATGTCAGGGGGTCGTGGTTAGATTGCTTCTTTTTCAAGATGGTCATTGCCTGGCAAATGTGATGAATGCCACTTGTCACCCCAAGCCTAGACATTGTTCAAATCTTGTTGCTTCTGAACATAGAACACTTCAGAATCTGTCGTTGCAAATTGTGCTGAACATTGCACAATCATCAAACATCCCCAAATCATCCTTATGATGGAGGGACTGTACAAATCAAGCAACTACAGGTAGTTGGTTCCAGGACACTCTTCTTCCTATGTGCAGCTACGACTCCAACCAGTGGAGAGTTTGCCCTCTGATTCCCAGTGATTCCAATATTGCTAGGCCTCTTGATGCCACTTTTAGTCGAATACAGTCTGGATGATGGCTGTCACTCTTGCCTTGCCTCTGGAATTTAACTGTTTTGTCCATTTTTGAACCAAGGCTGTAATAAGGTCAGGAGCTGAGTGGCCCTGGGTGCCACCAAACTGGGTGTCAGTGAGCAGGTTGTTACATAGGTGCTGCTTGATAGCACTGAGACCTTCATCACTACTGATGGTCGAGAGTAGGCTGAAGGAGGGGTAATTGGCAGAGTTAGTTTTGTCCTTTTTCTATACTAGACGTACCTGTACAATTTTCCATATTGTCAAATAGATGCCAGTGTAAGTGTCTGTGTACTTTATTTCTTTGATTTCTGTCATATGCTTCATACAATGTCATGCAAGTATCACCTCTTGTATTTATCCATGTGTTTTCTATTTAAGCACTGTCTCTTCCTGTGCAGGTCAGTTTGTTTTATAAATACTGCTCCTCATTTACATCTCGTTTTAAATAAGACTTCATGCTTGTGATGACTTGCTTATTTACTTCATGGAATCAGTTGGACTTGCTGAGTGTTTCCAGCATCTCATACTTTTGTTTCAGATTTCCGGCATCTACGTTGTTTTGCTTTTTCAGGAGGTTAGGTGCATTGAATTTACCTTGGAGAATATAATAAAAATATCTGAAAGATGAGGTGTAAGCCATCCTGTAACTGTAAATAGCATTTTATTGATGGGTTCTGTTACTGTCAGTATTATGACCTTCAATTCAAAATGAAATGCACTGTTAATAAAATATTCTGTTCAATGGGCAGGAAAAGAGCAGCTTAAATATTTAATTAATGACAAAGTAATAAGTAAATTATTCTCAGTTTGATTTCTTTAGCTGTTACATAAGCATTTATTTTCTGTGGATAAATTGCATGTGCAAGAAATAAAAGATCTATATTTGTTGGGATAGTGAATGTAAACTCAGAATCCAGATCCCATGAATATCAATGTGCTCAATAATGATACCTTTGTCTTTAATGACATTGATGGAATGTTGGCCAGGACATGGGAAGAATGCCAGTACTCGTTGAACAGTGCTGTGGAGCATTTTATATCCATTTGGGTATGTGCGAGGCCTCAGTTTAATATCTCACTCAGCATGCTTGCACCCAGTACAGTACAACACTACCACTGCATTGCAGTGGGAGTGTCAGTCTATATTTTAGACTCAGTCTTTGGAATGGGGCTGTAACCTATAATTTCTGACTGAGGCAAGACTGCTACCGCAAGTTAGGACTGTAGTTCATTGTGTAGCTTTCAATTTCCTGCAGGAATAATTGTCACTGGTCTTTGACTAGGTTACTTCCATCTGGTCCATTAAAAATGTGCTAAGCCACTGTTTTGCTAGTGACCTGTTCAATATGTACATCCCTGACAGTCTAGTAAATTTTCAGTTTATAGCAGGGAAAGCAACCAGTTAGCCTATTGTAGAAGTGCTGCTTTTGAATTAGACTATAGTACTTTAGTGCTAAAGCTGTCACTGTTCATCAAATAAGGTACTAGACATTTATGAACAGTAAAGGTAGGCTAAACCATTTAGCCCTGCGTGCTGCCTTTTCAGTGGCTGACCTGTGACCCGAATCTCTCTACCTGCCTTTCTCCCATGTCTCAATGTTTTCTGCACTCAATCTGGTTTATAAATAATTGATCTAACATTAGCTGCATTCTAGGAAATGCTCCAAGGCTTCCCAAGCATGCATGGTGTTTCCCAAATTGTCATCAAAGTCCCTTCAAACTTTAAGTCCCAGATTCACAAAATAGTTTTTCTACATCCATCCCTTAATATCTAGAAAGCATTGGCCAAATAATCTCTCATTCTTAATTTCAAGGCAGTCCCTTGGTTGACAAACATAATTTGTTTAATCTCGCTTGAGTAACTTGCAGATCCACAGTTGACTTATTTTGAGGATGCTATATCATGCTTATAAAGTTTAATGGATTGAACGGAACTCAACCTCAGGTTTGGTCTAAATAGAGCTTTCCATCACTGAAGGACAATGAGACCCTTCTATTCCAGGTGACATCAGTCACTGGTGTTTAAATAGGATTTGTGTCCCCAAGCACTGTTTAGAGGGAGTTTATTTCAATGTTTTTGTTACTATTTTGCCCTCAGCGTATGCAGTTAGGCTTGTATTCAGCATTTGCTTTAATGTGACTCAGGAAAGATTTTCTTTGTAGAAGTTGTTTTTCTGATCTTAGTTTGAATGTGATGCAACCAGATGAAATTGGGCATGCTTCATTTATATCATGAGGGAATTAAATTCTTGGTGCAGTGTCGATGTTTGCATTAATGCTTGCATTAACAAACATGATGCATGTTCTGAGATGCTAGAACTATTGATTATGTCCTGCATATAGTTGTTTTCAGTGCTTAGTGAGGCACAGTGATACAGCTGATTTGGAAATTGAGGTCCAGTTATTCCTCCAGTACCAAAGATCCTCTGAAGACCATAACATGCTATCTCTAGAACTGATTTTTTTGTATAAATTTCTTTCCCTTGTCACTGCAGAGTGAATGTTTGAAGGAAGTTTGTGATGTGTCTTACATGATTATATGTGCAGTGTTACATTCCATTGAATCCTGCCCAGCCAGTGACTTCTAGTTTACATTCTAGCACCTTGTTGCCAAAGAAACAAGCATAATTGTGGGTTCTGACAGCCTACTTGTGTGGAATTCAAATGTGCTGTAATAATTTGAAAGATCATACTCCTGAACATTGTAAACAAGGCCTTTTTCATTTTAAGAATCACAGTTAATGGGTTATGTTTTCAAGTCTTTATCAATTGTTGCTTGTGGAATCTTGGGACTATATAAAAGCCACAAAAGATTGTGTTTAAGGTTTGATAGAGGTGGTGTAGTTTTAAGCAGATGTTGGCAAAAGTTGGTAAGTCCACGGGCTGCATTGCACCCAGATTTGTCATAGAACCCCTACAGTGTGAAAACAGGCCCTTCGGCCCAACAGGTCCACACTGACTCTGAGCATCTCACCCAGTCTGCATATCCCTGAACACTATGGGCAATTTAGCATGGCCAATCCACCTAGCCTGCACATCTTTGGACTGTGGGAGGAAACCCATGCAGACATGGGGACAAAGTGCAAACTCCACCCAGTCGCCCGAGAGTGGAATCGAACCTGGCTCCCTGGCACTGAGGCAGCAATGCTAACTATTGAGCCATGACAACCTGAGTTGCAAGTTGGCTATACAGCACCTTGAAGCTCACTTGCCTTTGTTGCTTTTAACTAAACATTTTGATGCACAATGAAGAGAGCAAAGTTCCAACATGTGCTCTATTTAATATTTCTGTTTTGTTTTTGCAGCAGTTCTGTGGTGTTCTAGGTCGCACATTTATGGAGTTTCTGAAGGGCAGTGGAGACTACTGCCAGGCACAGCACGACGTCTATGCAGACAAGTGAACTGTAAAAGTCTACTATTATTCCACTTAAGAAACCCTTCAAGCAGGTTACCAGCAGCTGGGAAGAATAATTCATCGAAGACCATATCTGGATGGGGTAACCAAGTGTGCTCTTTTTTTGTTGGTCACAGTATTACTGGATTGAAGATTTGCTGCTTGTCAAAAGCATCATCAAAAGCCTTTGTACGTGCAAATATTCTGGTGGAATTTGACAAAACTGGACTTTTTAATTTTCAGCTTTTGCAGGACATTCTTTTCACTTTATAGGTTTTGCGCTTTTTCTAAGAAAATGGCTCGGATGAATCGTCCAGCACCTGTGGAAATTACCTACAAGAACATGAGATTTCTGATCACACACAACCCTACCAATGCAACCTTAAATAAATTCATAGAGGTGAGAGGTCTCTTTCAGGTTATTAAATATTTGACATTACATTGAGTTGAGTATTCTAAAGATTTCCTGAAGTTAAATGGAGTTAGAAGTTACTAAAAAGTGCACTTATCAAATCTGAGATGCTACTCACCAAAGGCATAATACATATCTATATGTAAGCAGAAACCTGCTTGCTATTTAACAAATCAAACTAATAAACTGAATCAAAATCTAAAGCTTATAACAACCTGGCTTTTGACCCCTTACACCTTAATCCTTGGATAGTTGAGGATATTTTTCTCCAGTACTTTGCTTGCTGAGACCCTTGGTTTGGTGTCCACTGTGACAAGTTGAAGTAAGTCTTTGCAGGACTGCAGGATGCCACTTCCAGTTGACTGCTTCAGATGACATTGCTCACTGTAGGTTGAGCAGCTGAGGGTCTACAGCAAAAGCTATGAAAAGGTAGTGAGAAAGCAGATGATGGATTCCCTGAAACCTGAGGTCATTGTTAAATATTGGTGATTGATTTTAAAAACAATTGACTAGTGTCTTTTCATACTTGTATCTGAGATGTATGTTTTTAGATATTTTAGGCAGAAAATTGATGTCTGTTGTGGCTGTTAAATTTGTACATTTAAAAAGAAACTTTCAGTGGAATCTGAGGTTTGAAACCACTGAATCTTGTTTTGGTTTGTTTTTCAAAAATATTTTCATTATTTCACATCTTTGCACTCCCCCTCAAAAAACCAACAAACTTGCACCATACCTGCGTATAAATTGATGTTCTTTCCAATGTTCAGCTTTCTTCCAATCAAGGTCTTGGTTTAATTAGAAAGCCAAAAGAGGTGTGGTCATGTTTTAATGGGAATGTTTGCTGAATAACAATGTATTAAGTATTTGTTTAACGTGAACTGAAATTAAATACCTAGTTGCAGACACTGTTGTCTCTCTAATTGTGATGGCAGTTAAATAAGAACAAACAAGATGTTTGAAAGCTTCGAAGTCTAGACTTAGTATTGTTCCAAAATCCAGCTTTTGACACTTCAAAAGCAGTAATGCTAAAATATTGTGCTCTTTTTAACCTCTAAATCCAAGATTAGACTTGTTTACTGTATTAACTTTTTTCAGGAGTTGAAGAAGTACAGTGTCACCACAGTAGTTAGAGTATGTGAAGCAACCTATGACACGTCTCCAGTTGAAAAAGAAGGCATTCAGTTTTTGGTAAGTACAAAATACCTTACCATCTGTGTTTTGTCAACAGGGCAAAAAGCCCATTTTCAGTCCAATATATTCAGTGACGATTGAGATTTCTTTCCTTTTAAAATCAGCTGGTGGCTCCAATTCAAATTTGATTCTCTATATTAAAAGATTTACTTAACGTTTAACATCAAATTCTGTTACCGCTCATTAGTTTTGGGGTGTCACTTCTTCACTGCACTATTCCTGACTTGTACAGCATGCTTGACTGCTGCATTAATCTATCATAGGAGCATATCCGCTTTGCGGACAGTTTATTTCAATATATTGTGGCAAGCCTGGGACGGGAGTTGACATTTTATTGTAGCAGCTTCGATGGCCTAGTACTATTATTGATGGACTGTTAATCCAGAGATCGAGATAACATGGGGACCTGGGTTTGATTCCTGTCATAGCAGGTGATGGAATTTGAATTCAATAATAATTTGGAAATGAGTTTAATGATGACCACAAAACCATTGCCAATTGTCAGAAAAACCCGTCTGGTTCACTAATGTTCTTTAGGAAAGGAAACCACCATCCTTGCCCAGTCTAGGCTACATGTGACTCCAGACCACGGCAATGTGGTTGATGCTTAACTGCCCATAGGGCAATTAGGGATGGGCAATAAATGCTGCCTAGTCGGCGATGCCCTCATCCTGTGAATGAATTTTTTAAAAAAAGCTAAACTAACCTTGGCCGGTACACTTCTGGTACTTGTTTGCGTATAGATTGGACTGATTTTTAGATTTTCCTAATAACCTGTTCAGAGATGTTATTTACACTTAGAACCAGTGGGACTTGAACCTGGACCTCCTAGCTCAGAGATAAGGACACTACTACTGCACCATAAGCTCTATTGGACCAGTATTTGTTTTAAGTCATGGGATATGGACCTTATCGGCAAGAATGGAATTTATTTGCTTTCTCAATGCAGAAAAGTATCATTTTGAATCCAAATAATTAACGTGGTAGAATGGTTGAGCCACCATTTTGCTGTGGATTTAGAATCACGTAAGGTTGACATTTGGCTTTTCTACAAAAAAAACTGAAGAACCAGATGGATGTTACTTTCAAAACTGCAATTTTATGGTTATCATTACTAATACTAATTTGAGATTTGTTATTTAACTAAATTGTACTTCAGGCCTCTGCATTACTAATCCAGATACATAACAACCATGTTAGAGCATTCATATTCAGATGTGGGGAAGTTTTGGGCAGTTTGTGTCCAATTCACATACAAATGATGTGCATTTAATTAATGCTTTCTCTGAAAATGCTTGATGTCCATATAATGGAAAAGTTACATTTTTTAACAATCTTTACTTTGAGAATGAAATTCCCCATTTCCCCACTGGGGATAGGGCAGCTGATTCTGTCATGACTTTTCTTGTCCAGACTTTCTGGAAAATGCACTGGGAAGGGAATTCTTGTATTCAATATGTTAGAATCCTTGTCTTTGTCAGCTTATAGGATCTGTCATTTGAGAGCATTGTGAAATTTAGCCTAAAGATGTCCACTAAAGGCATCAGGAAAAGCTTGAGTAAGTGTTTGATGTAAAGTGGTGAATTGGTACATTAAAATGCAATGAGAACTTTTTCTCCAACAGGACTGGCCGTTTGATGATGGTGCTCCACCTTCCAACCAGATTGTGGATGATTGGCTTACCCTTTTGAGAGCTAAGTTCCGTGAAGAGCCAGGTTGTTGCATTGCTGTCCATTGCGTAGCTGGTCTTGGACGGTATGTACTATTCCTCAGGCTTTTATTGCATGTTTTTAATACGATGGTTGTGAATCAGGCAGGCCAGCATAAATGTGCTAAATTAACTTCTGTTATAGTGTAGTCCAGCTTGCATTTGTGTACTAATATAGAAACTATTTTGGAGAGGGATAAAAATGAAGTCTCGGAGTGAAGGAGTAATTGTTATGCCACAATCTGCATTGAACAATCTTTCAATCAAAGTTAGGTTGTTGTATGTGGTTAAGGTTGAAAAAGGGAAATTTCCAGAATGCAACAGAGGCAGCTGAACACCCTCAGTTAAACAGGAGGAGAGGATATAAAGCCTGAGAATAGAAGGGTGTTGGAGGTGGGAACAATGTAACAATTGTGGCTGTTTGAGGGATGCTGCTGGTGTGGGTTGAATACTGACAGCTGGGTCTTTTCATTACTGTGTGGAGAGTGCAGCATTGAAATCAAATTTCTATCTTAAGAATAGATTGAGCTAGCTTATTCCTTTTTCCAATCTATTGAAAGGACTTGAGTAAGTTCAATCAGAAGCATACTTGATGATGACATAGGCAGTTGCAAAAATGGAGAAATCTACCAATCAAAGCCTTATTCCCCAAGGCTGATGCCCTAACCCATTCATGCTGTTGCTATTACAGTGCTTCAGTGTCGCAGCTTCACATCTATTCATTGATATCTCGTGGCACTGCTTATAATCAGATGCTTGGAAATGGCATTCTTTTCAATTTATTAATCTTCTGCATCTGCTCCTTCACTTCTTAGGGCTATCTTTTGCTCATGTCATTGTCCTTCCTTATGCATTTTAGTTCTCTTGTCACATTTTCCACCAACCCTCTTAAGAGCAATCCAATGTGGTTACAGTGCATGGAATTGGGCAGATACTGAGGTGGGAATTATTCATGTTGCACTACGTTTGAACCTTGGCCATGAGCTAATACACTTGCCT